ATTTGTGATCGTGACTTGAACTTCAGAGAGATTTGTGGGCCGTGCTGTGGATTTTTAAAGCTAAATATCGGTTATCGTGTACTACAGCAGCAAACCAAGTATAAAGTTTTTCACAGGATTCTCCTTAGCCCCTCAAGTAGAGCTGGAAAGTTACATATCCAGTTGCATTTTTCCTCACAAACTGGACACAGTTCCTTCAATCTGAATAATTTCTACAGCTGAATGCCAAGTGACTGACTTTGGTTCCACTTTTTAAAGTTTTCAAGATATAATTGTGCAACAGTTCTGGTGGAAGACACAACTTGACAAAACTTTATTAAAGATCCTGTTGTCTGCCAATTAGGAACTGTATGTTAGCATGCTAGTTGTTATGAAAAGCTCTTATAAAGTCACTGTGGTGAATATTTATAATTTTATAATTGAAAATGTGACTGATTTTTAAGATGTCTATAATCATGAAAACAGATATGAAACTGAAGTTCTTATCGCACCTGAATATTACTTTGTACATGATTAAAAGATCTTCCAAAGAGATCTTAAAGAGGTCTTAAAAGATCTTCAGCTGTTCTAAGTCTGAGGCCATAGTTCTCGAGTGGAAAAAGGTGTCTTGCCCTCTCGGGGTGGGGCGTCTCTGCCTCAGGTGGAGGGGTTCAAGTATCTCGGGGTTTTGTTCACGATGAGGGGAGGATGGAGCGTGTGATTGACAGGTGGATCGGTGCAGCGTCGGCAGAGATGTGGTCGCTGTATCGGACTGTTGTGGTGAAGCGGGAGCTGAGCTGAAAGACAAAGCTCTCAATTTACCGGTCAGTCTTCGTTCCTTCCCTCACCTATGGACATGAGCTCTGGGTAGTGACCGAAAGGACAAGATCGTGGACACAGGCGCTCGAAATGAGTTTCCTCAGCAGGGTTTCTGGCGCTCCCTTAGAGACAGGGTGAGGAGCTCAGTCACACGGGAGGAGCTCGGAGTAGAGCCGCTGCTCCTCCACGTCGAGAGGAGCCAGTTGAGGTGGCTCGGGCATCTGTTCCGGATGCCTCCTGGGAGGTGTTCCGGACATGTCCCACTGGAGGGAGGCCCCCGGTGAAAACCCAGGACAAACTGGAGGGACTATGTCTCTGGGCTGGCCTGGGAACGCCTCGGGATCCCCCTGGAGGAGCTGGAGGAAGTTTCTGGAGTGAAGGAAGTCTGGGAGTCCCTGCTTAGACTGCTGCCCCCGCGACCCGGCCCCGGATAAGCGGAAGAAAATGGATGGATGGATGATTAAAAGACCCATTTACGCTATTTTTTATCTGTTATAATGTTGTTTCCTCATCACGAACGAACCTGGAGTTGTGTTTTGTTTCATTCCCACATGTTTAACACACAAACCCCGCAGATTTAGACTTGAGTTTTTCTCTCAAACTAAAAACTCTCTGCTCCACTGTGCTTTTAAACTCCGCGGACTTTCACTCTCTGCTGAACGAAAGGCAAAAAGTTGCTGTTATCTTGAAAACTAACACTTCGTGACATCACAAGCTGGAAGACTTAGACAGACTCATAACAAAGAGTTACTCAAACACGTGTGAATGAAACAAAACACAGCTCCGGGCGTGTTTCTGATGAGGTAACAACGTTCGAAAAGGCTCACAAAAGTCAACTCTGCGTAATACAGGACCTTTAATTTCGCAGCCGTGTTCAAAATCATCCAACTGGAAATATCTGTAAACCTCATTAACTTAGACCAATACTGAAGGCTTTGTTATTTAAGTCTTAATGGCTTTATTGGCTATTCCCTCCACGCTCCGCTGTAAAAACTTCAGCTCACTTTGTATTCCTCTTTACGCAGAATTCGCAGTGTGGACCGAGCCTTATCCTCTCATTTTTCCCCTGTCCTTGGCGTCGGTCGGAGCTCCATACTTCCACACGCCAAAATCTCTCTTCTTTTCCACTTCCAAACTCCAAACGCCGGCCCAGTTTTCCTCCTAATCCCTCGTGTTGCGGTCCCCCCGCTGCCGACTATGACACCACCGCTGTGTCGTACATGTTTACCACTGGCTGTAATTAAAACTGCAGCTCGGGGTTTGGAGGAGTGCGCGGCGTTTACAGTTGTTGTGGTTGCTTTATTTGCTCGTAAATCCTCGGGCCGAGCTGCGTCTGCTGTACAGATCAGTTTGAGAGAAGCGCGCGTCATAAATAACAATATCCAGTCTAAAGATATGAGATTTGAGAAGCGAGTCAGGGTAGATTTAATGCTCCAAAAACTCAAAAAAGGAAATGTTGGCTACGGAGCGAGTGTACTTTTTTAAGCCTTCTCCAGAGTAAATGTTGTCTTGAGTTTTTACGGAAACATTTCAGTGGATTAAAGAGCACATATTAAGCTATTTTCTGGTGTTATAAAGTTGTTTTCTTATCACAAACAGACCTGGAGTTGTGTTTTGTTTTGTTCACACATGTTTAACACACAAAACCTGTGTATTTAGTAGAGTTCTTCTCTCAGGAACAGAAAATATTGCACCTTAACTAGAAACATTTGGATAATTTCGGCCCTAGAATTGCAAATCTGAACTGAACTAAAGGTAAAATCGTCGTTTTTAACTTGAAAACTACCGCTTCATGACATCACAAGGTGGAACAGAGCATTTTGAGCTTTGGGGATGTAGACAGACTAATAATACAGTGTCATTAAAACCAAGGGCGTAAGTTTAGTCTCAGTGTTTTATGAATTCTTTCCAAAAAACACACAGAGTCTGGGCAGGTCCAAAATAAGTGAGAGGTGGTTTCATCTTTCAATTTGTGTCCATTGTTATTCTAAGATGATTCTTTAGCGCAGGGGTGTCAAACATACGGCCCGGGGGCCAGATCCGGTCCTTCAAGACCTTTAATCTGGCCCTCGGCTGATTTTCTACTAAAATATTTTCATCATATTTTCTATTAAAATCGTGTTAATTTTCTGTGGTGTTTATCACAGCAGCGTCTCCAGCGTCTCTGTACGTGGCCCCTCCCACCAGAGCAGCACAAATGAAGACTTGTCTCTTTCCAAACGCTCTTAAAGGACGATCGTTTTGACTGTTGACCGTGACACCCTCATCAGAAAAATGTCCAACATGAGAAAAGTGGAGCCGAGTGCAGGATTTTACAAGAAAAACTGACTTATTCCTATTTGCAAACAAGTTCATGTTAAAACATTGTGTTGAAATTGTTTTTTTTTTTTTTTTAAGTTTCAGGTTGTTCATAATATTATAATATTTTGTAAAAGAGTTCATCAATTAAAAAAGATTTCTGTAATAGATTTGTGTTTCTCTGCACAAATATTTGAACTTATTGTTATTTTTGGGGTTTATATGACATGAGTTTTCTGATCCGGCCCCTTTGGGATCAAAGTCGGTTGGATACGGCCCTGGACCAAAATGAGTTTGACACCCCTGTTTTAGCGGATATCAGCAATGTAGAAGTTTGTAGCAGATTTCCCTTTGCTTGTTGGTGATGACATATTTGTGAGGTCATGTTCGTACAGTTTTATGTGGAATATTGTCAGTAGAGTCAGGCTGCCAACAGTGAATGAGAGGTGCACTGTTTTTAGGTTTTAGGTGTTGTACATTAGACTGAGGTCCAGTATTGCTCTCTCGTCTGTGTTGGTACATCCTCTTGTGAAGTGGCTGTTTCGTTTCTTCAATGTAGCGCGTCTTAGTAACCCTTTATTATTAGTCTGTCTACATCTCCAGAGCTCAAAATGCTCTGTTCCACCCTGTGATGTCACGAAGCGGTAGTTTTCAAGTTGACAGCGACTTTTTTGCCTTTAGTTCAGTAGAGATTGGCAATTCCAGGGCATAAATTTATCCAAATGATTCTAGTGAAGGTGTATGGGGTTTAAAAATACAGTGGAGCACTTCCTGTATGACATCACAAGGTGGAACATAGTGTTTTCTGTTTGAGAGAAGAGCTCAGCCTAAATGCAGGGCTTGTGTGTTTAATATGTATGAAGTAAACAAAACACAAATAGAAAACAGCCTAATATGGGCCCTTAAAATCTGTGTATCATTTGTTGATTCGTTTTTCAAAATAAAATCAAAAATAAGAAAATGAAAAAAACAACTATATTCTTCATTATTTGTCTCAAAAACCACAATGAAAAAGCAGATAACGATTTATTTATTTATTTATTTAACGAATAACAGCTGTTTCCCCGTTTACGTGTCTTAAACTGTGATGTCGAACTGAACCAGGACTAAAACAGAACTGAGACTGGGACTGAGACCAGGACTGAGGACCAGGACCAGACCGTGATTGGAACTGGGACTGAGATCGGGACCAGACCAGGACCGAGACCTGTTTAGTCCTGGTTTAGACCCGGTTTAGTCCTAGCGAGACTGGAACTGAGACCGGGACTGAGATTGGGACCAGACCAGGACCGAGACCGGTTTAGTTCTGGTTTAGACCTAGTTTAGACTTGGTTTAGACCTTCTTTAATCCTGGTTCAGACCTGGTTTAGTCCTGGTGAGACTGGAACTGAGACCGGGACTGAAATCGGGATCCGACTGGGACTAGACCGGGTTTGAGACCGGGACCAAACCAGAACTGAGACCGGGACTGAGACCGGGACTGAGACCGGTAGTGAGATCAGGACTGAGGCCGGGACCTGACCAGAAGTGACACCAGGACTGAGACTGGGTGTGAGACTGTGTCTGAGACTGGGACTGAGACCTGGACCAGACCGGGACCAGACTGGGACCGAAACTGGGACTGAGACGGTGACCGAGACCTGGATTGAGACCGGTTTAGTCCTGGTTTAGACCTGGTTCAGTCCTGGTTCAGTCCTTGTTCAGTCCTAATGAAAAAACAAAACGTTATCTGTTTTTTCATTTTGCTTTTTTTACGACAAATAATGAAGAAAAGTGTTGTTTTTTTCATTTTCTTTCGGTTTTATTTTGAAAAAACGAACAAACGAATGACACATAAATTCCTTAAATACTTAAACTCCAACACTGAGTCATTAATCCTGATGTCCCTGTTGTGTCGTTTGCAGACCCGGACTGGCTGAACCTGGACGGCTTCGCTGTTCTGAGCGCCGCACCTGTCAACTCAGCAGGTAACCCCCCGTCCCCCTGTCGCCCTCTACTCCTCCCTCCCTCCCTCCTTCCTTCCCTCTCTTTGCTCCTTCTCCTTACACCTGGCCCAACAGCTGCACATGTAACAGTGTAGTTGTGTTCGCATGAGCGGAGTTCAGACACGAGCCGCTGTCAAGTGAAATATGAACACGGAGAGAGAAAGAAAGAAAGAGAGAGAGAGAAAGACACACGCACATAGATACAGAGAAGGCCTCCCCCGGTGTGATGTCCTGAGGCTCCTGTCAAACTCTCGCTCTCTCTGACTGACTCTACGGGAAAACACGCTCTGAGTCAGTCTTCCCATAAGCGCAGGTATGTTTTTGTTGCACTTCGGCCAGATACGCGACGCCTGCTCACGCTTCAGGACTTCCATTAACGCTGCGGAAAGTTCAGGAGTCAGAAGCAGTAACGCGATCTCGGTGTGGCCGGGGAAGTCGAAACTAATGATGAGGAGCACTTAAAGCTTCTCATGCAGTTCCTAAAAAGAGGTCCTCACCAACCGCTTCTAGGAAAATGACGTATGTTCTGTAACGTAAATTAACAACACGACTTTATTTTGTTTTGCTTTTTGCTTTTTAAATAGGCACTTGTCACATCGGTAAAGGTAAGGTAGACATTTGTGGGACCATTTCCAGATCTGGTCAATCAGAATATCGATATATCGGATCGTTTAATGTGATGATACTGTATCGATATCGCGGGCTGCTGTATCGATACATCGCCATGAGTATTTTTTGGTATATTTTACTTAATTATTTTGTTACAGCGCTACAGTTTTGTTTTTGGAAACTTGTTCACTGTTTTGATGATTAAAATGTTTGTGTTTTATATTTACTTTGCACAAGAAGTGGTTTAACAAAGACTTTTAGTATCACAGCCATGATTTACCCTTTATTTTTTATTGAACCGCATCGAATCGATTTGAAATATATCGTATCGAAATAAAAGTGCACTGTATCGAGATATGTATCGTATCACGCCCCATGTACCAAGATATGTGTCGTGTCTGCAAGGGTCTGGGGGGAGGGAAGAGGGGTGTGCAAAAATCAATCAGAATATCGATATATCGTATCGTTTAATGTGATGATATAGTATCGATATCATGGGCTGCTGTATTGATATATCGCCAAGAATATTTCTTGGTATATTTTAGTCAATTATTTTGTTACAGCGCCACAGTTTGTTGCTCGTTCAGTGTAAGGAAACTCATTTATGCGGCATATTTGACATTTTCACTGTTTTGAGGATTAAAATGTTTGTGTTTTATATTTACTTTGCACAAGAAGAGGTTTAACAAAGATTTTTAGTATCACAGCCATGATTTACCCATTATTTTTTATTGAACCGCATCGAATCGATTTGAAATATATCGTATCGAATCAAAAGTGCACTGTATCGAGATATGTATCGTGTCAGCGACTTCTTAACGATACCCAGACCTAGGAGGGAAGTCCCTGCGTAGCTGCTCCCGCAACCCGGCCCCAGATAAACGGAAGAAAATGGATGGATGGATTTTAGCTTCAGAGTAGAGGTCTGCGCGGGACAGAATTTTGAGTCCCGCTCCCGCACTGTAGAGACCCGTTTCCGCCCGCTCCCGCAAAGAATTGTAATTTTCAGTCCCGCTCCCGCTCGCATCTGCAATATTTTGTCCCGCAGGATGGGAACCTTTGCTTTCTTAAACTCTGTCAAACGCGGAGAAGCGAAAGAAACTGGGCTGCGTACGAGAGGAGGCGCGGTGGGCGATCCGGCGACACGGTTAAGTCCTGGCTAAATCCTGTTTTAGTCCTGGTTTTAGAGCTGTTTTTAGACCTTGTTTAGTTCTGGTTGAGTTCTGATTTTGTTGCGCAGGCAGCACGACGTACGGAAGGAGGGACTGTTCGCGCGGCGTACGGGATGGGGGGGACTGTTCGAGCGCCGTACGCAAGCCCCCAGGTTCCAAAATGGCCGTCCATTCAAGTCAATGGGCTGAGCTCAATGGCGCATGATCCCAGCTTAGCCTAGCATGGCGAGGTACTTCCGGTGGCCGTGGGCCGACCGAGCATGCGCAGTAGTGCTCTTTTCTCCCACGGGCACACGCGAATGCATGCGACCACACGCACGGAGCACGGGATCGTGTATCACGTGATCGCTTTGACCAATCAGAGCGAGAGGAACTAGAGCGGAGCAGTGCGTAGCCGAAGCTAACGATTATAAAGCGTTTTTTTAAGACAACTCAAGGATTTTGAGCAAGAAAAAGTTTATGATCTAAAAATAGGTAAAAATCGCCAACAAATCCGATAATTTTGAAAGCTGTAAGTGACCTGTCAGACGAACACGAGCAGTTTGTGATTATATTGCGCTCTATGATAAAAATCTTGTCTCGGCCCACGGGACTTTTTCTGCTGAAGTTCCAGTGAGACACTACGTCAACTGGAGGCAGCTACAAGCAGCAATACTGTATCCAGTTATTTTAATAGATCCATGGCCGTACGGGACGGGGGGGGACTGTTCGAGCGGCGTACTTGGAAGGAAGGACTGTTTGCGCGGCGTACGGGACGGGGGGAGACTGTTCGAGCGGCGTACGGGACAGGGGGACTGTTCATGTGGCGTACGGGACGGGGGGATTGTTCATGTGGCGAACGGGACGGGGGGACTGTTCGCGCGGCGTACGGGACGGGGGGACTGTTCATGTGGCGTACGGGACGGGGGGACTGTTCATGTGGCGAACGGGACGGGGAGACTGTTCGCGCGGCGTACGGGACGGGGGGACTGTTCATGGGTGGCGTACGGACGGGGACGGGGGGGACTGTTCATGTGGCGAACGGGACGGGGAGACTGTTCGCGCGGCGTACGGGACGGGGGACTGTTCATGTGGCGTACGGGACGGGGGGACTGTTCATGTGGCGTACGGGACGGGGGGACTGTTCATGTGGCGTACGGGACGGGGGGACTGTTCATGTGGCGAACGGGACGGGGGGACTGTTCGCGCGGCGTACGGGACGGGGGGACTGTTCATGTGGGCGTACGGGACGGGGGGGGACTGTTCATGTGGCGTACGGGACGGGGGGACTGTTCGAGCGGCATACGGGACGGGAGGGACTGTCCGAGCGGTGTACTTGGAAGGAAGGACTGTCTGCACGGCGTACGGGACGGGAGGGACTGTTCGCGCGGCGTACGGGACGCGGGGGGACTGTCATATTTAGTTTGTTTAGTCCGCCCTCAGCGAGCTTTCCCGCGGGACTGCAGGGCTCTACTTCAGAGAAAGTAATAATAGTTAAACCTCAATGAACAGACCATAAACTCTCTTAAACTCTCATTTAAAAACCTGTCTCAATTCTCTTAAAAGTCTTCAGGGCTTTGGGTCGTTAGCGGATTCATTGGTCAAATAGAAGTCACTGAGAGAAAAAAGGTTCCTCCGGCTGGCACAAACCATTTCAGTTTTATTCAGTGTCTTTTAAGTTAATTAAAAACCAATAGCTGTTATAATTTTTACACCTCGAATGATAAATTGACTTGTCTGAAGAAATCACAGTGGTCGGTGTCTCCCCTTGCAGCTTGACTAAGAAACGTAAGAATCAGACTTTTTATTTCTAATTGAGTTTGCTCTGCATTAAAGGCGCAGGAGTATTAGAATCATTTAGAGATCAAGTCAAAGAAGTCAGATTTTGGCGACATTTTTGAGAGAAAGAATAAGGGAAAATGCGTGAAAAGTTAAAACCATCTGACTTTTGAACACAACATTTCCAATACGTGCAACATTACGATATTTGCTCTTAAAACCGCGTCCCTTATGACAGATACTTTGGTCCAATTTCTGCCTCAAAAATTATCCAAGAATGTAATGTTTGGATAACATTTGTGGAAACAGCGAGCTACTAGTTATGTTAAAAGTTGCCCAGTTAAATTTCAAGTGTCCAAGTGAGAATAAGTGAGTTAAGAATAATAAGATTTCTAGTCCCTAACCGTTCGACTGGCTGATGATTTGGGCCCGTGGTATGTGTGTGCGGTTGGATTCGAGCCGGCTGCACCTCAGATGACTAGCTTCCAGGAACAGACAGAGCGGAGGGAGAATCCTGTGGTCAGCGGCTCTCCGACCTGTGCCAAAATATGAACCGCGACAGGCCAGAGGGACCAGATCTAAACCAAATGTGTTTGTACCAGACGGGACAGAGGTGGGTAGTGCTACTTTTAGAGAAGGAGTATTTACTGCGAACACGTAACATATTTAGACCACCGTGTTACCTTGTGCTGTTTTGAAAAAGTTATATTTGCCAGAAACGACGTGTTAACATTTTGTTTTATAAGTTTCATATTCGTTTTTGGTTCTCTGCAGCCTGAAGTGACCCAAATCTGATTTTTCGCCCCTATTCAACCTGTATCTGATGTTTTAATGACAGTCTGAGCGACACAGATCCGATTTTTTTCAAATGTGACCCAGGACGCTTGAATATGTGCTCCTAAAACCGACACATATCCGATCTTTTTTGACACGAGACTTCAATCTGAACGGCCAGGTCGCATTCATCCCACCTACACGTCAGGCTCGGAGTTTCGTCAATTGAAGGAAAAGGGACTGGGTGGTTTCGGGTGGTTTTGGCTCCGGTGTCAACGAAAAATTAAGAGCCTGCGAGCAAAATACAAGGAGGCTACAGGCTACGTTCAGACTGCAGCCTGAAGTGACCCAAATCTGATTTTTTTTTGCCCCTATGCTCCTGTATCTGATCTTTTAATGACAGTTTGAACGACACAGATCAGATTTTTTTTCAAATGTGACCCAGGCCACTTGGATATGTGCTCCTAAAACCGATACATATTTGATCTTTTGACATGCGACTTCAATCTGAACGGCCAAAGCGCATTCATCCCACCTACACGTCAGGCTCGGAGTTTCGTCAATAGAGGGAAAGGAATCGGGCGGTTTCGGGTGGTCTTGGCTCCGGTGTCAACTAGGGGTGTGCAAAAATATCGATATATCGCATCGTTTAATGTGATGGTACAGTAT